TGGTCTAAAGTACTTCTTCTTTTAAAGCTCTGTTTTCTTGGTTGCCATAGCGATACACTGTCTGGACAACAAACCTCCCACAGATACAAACTATACTTACTTCCTTACATTACTTAGAAATTTGTGCCGACTGTCAGGAAAAATAAAAACAGTAGAATTCACTTCCATAAACAAACAAACAGACTGACTATGTCATATTTTGCTATGAAGCTGAACTCGATGGACAAACACGTAGAATAAGCAGAGAAAGAAAAATGTCATACAAAGAAGAGAACAGTTAACATGATAGCCATGAAATAATGTATCCTAATGCAAAGCCAGTGTATTAAAAAATCTTCCTGGAGATACAAGAAAAGGGCTGTTATAGGCTGTTTCCAAATAAATTTAATTTTCCAAATATCTGAAAGCCAACTGCAGGCTTTAATTGACATTTTCATACTGATCTTTTTCTTTATCCATTTCATCTGTCTATTTACTTGTTATTTAGACTGTCTGATTTTAAAAGGAGGTGGAAAATATGGCACATTATATGTAAATGTGACCTGATTTCAGCACAGATAAAAATTTAAAAAATAAATTAAGAGCGAAGAGAGGAGAGAGAAAGCGTTATGGCAGCTGAGAAATGGGAGGGGGCAGACAAGAGAAAAGCAGCTAACACAGCAGACTCTGAGCCTTTGGAAGATTCAGTTTAATGCTGAATTATTCATCATCTTTCCTCCCGGTCTCCTCAAGTATTATAGTTACAAAGAAATGTAATGGTGAAAAACAGTGCTCGAAAAAAGATTTATAACGGAGTAGGACTATAGTGCCGAAATAAGTAATGTTGCCTTGTCAGTCGAATCTCCAGAGGATGGGCGGCAGTAGCTAAATTACACTTTGAACTAGCTAAGAAAGTAATACGAGCACCTTAGATTGTTTCAGGTCACATCTCTTTTCAACGACCAACGACTGAGCCTGCCTCAGACTTACTTTTTGTCCGGCTGCATTTAACATTGCATGTGCGCAGAGTCAAAGTTAAAAAAAATATTGGTCCAAGTGCTAACCCTCAGACTTCTAGTAGATACATGTATGGTCTTAATTTCACATTGCCACCCGCCTGGCAACGTGACAATACCCCATCAGGCATTTACAGATGAATGAATTCAAGCCATTTCCTTCATCTTTTTCAAACTTTCCACATGTTCCAAAGCCTTCCACGTTAAGACCTGTTAACTAAAATTGTTCTTCTTTCCATTTTCTGCATTTCTTGAGATTCTTTTCATTTGGCTTTTAACATCAGCCTCAACAAGACTACTCTGAGTGTGACTTTGTGTGAATAAAGAAGGAAAACTTACATAAGTACTATAATTGAGTGCAAGAGTACAAGTTTGCAGCCCTGTGGAAAAACTAATACACCCTTACTGCTTCCATAGGAATTCAGAGGGTAAGTAGCAGCCAGGTGCTTCTAATCAAATTCACTTGATTAACATCATCAAGGAAGTGTGAGCACCTCTATAAAAGCTGAAGTCTGGTTAGTTTGCATTAATGTGTATGTTAACATAATGCTATCCCAAGGTCAGACGGTGCATTGCCCCTTTTAGCATGTTAAATGTTAAAGTTTGTGACAGTACAATTTGTGCAGGACAAAGCCTTTTCTCTCTAAAAAGAACATGGCAGCATGGCTTTGCTTTGCAAAGCTGCATCTGAACAAAAGACAAGAGTTGTGGAACAACGTTCTTTAGATGGACGAGATCGGAGTAGAGATGTTTGATTGTATTGCGGGCTGCATTTTTAGCAAACACCTCATATCATTTATTTGGCAAAACAGCTAAAAAAAAAGGAGCAGAAATTACAGGGTATTTAGCAGTGGTTGGTATATACCACATGACCACAATGTCCATGATTTTACTGCTGGCCATCCAGACCTTGTTACATAATATACTGCCCTATTTTCTCCTTTTTGCAGTCACTGCCTATATGTTTATAACAAATCACAGGCTTAATATGGTGTGAAGAGAATGACTCTGTTCTGGAAATAATTGTAACTATTTGGGAAGGCCATTTTTTCCCAGTAACACCCAGAAAAAAGTAAGAAAAAGCTTACAGAAACCAAGATGCATTTCCTCTAACAATATCTAGTCCTAGAAATGACATCGCTCATGTTTCCACTAACCAAGAATGAAACAAATTTTCAAGAGAGCCGAATAGCAAACCAGATGCAGATGGTCCATCTGGTATCGGGGCTGGGGTACAGTAGGCTTGAAAGAAAAGGCTGGCACCACCCCCTGGGAGGGGTCAGCTAGCTGCCTGGCAGTTCCTGCCCAATATTAAACGCTCCCACATGGTGAACTACAGTTTGAAGCTCAAGAAAGGATAGGTGAAAGAGCCAGCGCGAACCCTTTGACAGAAACACACGGATACAAGGGGTGTTTCTGTGTCTCTGCAAGGCCATTAAGTATTTACACTTACTATGCAAGAGTAAGACAGTAAGTGCTGCTAGCACGCATATATGAATGATGTATTTTCCTCAGAGTGCACAAGCTCGGAGCTGAAACACTACATCGAGTACAGACAAAGACCAAACATCTTTCTGCTGTCTCAGCTCCATCTCATTCAACTCTTTACATCTGTGTCCTCTCGGTGCCCTATTTCTTCTCTGCTGCCTCTTCCTCATTATTTTAGTCTCCTTTTTTTCAACCACATGACTAGGGATGGGTATTGTTTAGGTTTTATCCGATACCAGTACCAAACCAGTACTTTTGAAACAGTGCCGGTGCTCAAACGGTGCTCAAACTGGTGCTTAAAGAATGGAGAACACACACTTTGTCTAAAAACCTCTTATGTTTAGCTGTTTTTTTTGTAAAAAGATAACAATGTTAGCCTTTTCTGCAGCTATAGGGGACATATGGTATCACTATTGGCTGGAAGCAGTGCTTAATCAATGGAAAAAACACAAACTTTGTCCAAAAACCTCTCATATTTAGCTGTTTTCCACTTTTTCCATTTTAGCCTTTTTGGCCAGGGTGAAGGGAGTATCTGCCATCAAACAAGAAGACAGCCGCATGTAACTACGATGATGTTTGCTAGTTCACCTTACATGCATTAATGTAATAACGTGGTTAGCCTACTCAACGTAAATTACACACGAACAACATTAAGCTACTCACGCAGAGAAGAACGGCTGCTGCTGCCATCATCATCCGTCATCATTTCTGCTACACTGGCAGGGCTAGGGGCCAGGACTCTCCTCTTCGGGTTCTTGGGGGATGTTGCTAACTCCGGGTCCGATAACAGGCACCACACCCGCAGTAGATGTGCTCGGTGTGAGGTCTCGCAGCAAGCTATCAAATACGGCGCATTTCTCGGCTTTTAAAAAAAACGCTATGCGTCGCCAGGTGTTTCATCAGATTCTGGTGTTACCTCCTTTGACAGTATCACAGTATCAGCTTAAAGCACTTGTTGCTGCTGAGTTTGCATCTTTTGCTGTGAAGTACAGCCAGACTTTGACCGCTTCGCCTTGGGCATTTTTAATCTGTAGCTCTGCTCTAAAAGAACGTACGTACCTGGGCCCGCCTACTAATCCTTGGAAAGGTAAAATGATTGGCTAGAATCAAAGTGTATGACATCTCAGGGAAATAAAGCACCGAAATAAAGCACCGAAATGTGCGTTGCTTTTCGGTCTGGTTACTACCGTTTATGTCAGATACCGGTACCCATCCCTACACATGACAAGTTGTTTCTCTCACCTGCTGTCTTTGTACCTTGAACAATTTTATTCTGTTTAAATACTTTAAAACTCTTTTTTTTTGTGCCACAGGCAGAAAGAAAGTTTCTTGTTTCTGTATTTTTGTCTTGCTGTGTTGTGTTCCTATCAAATTAATCAGAGCTACAGGCATTTCATTTAATACTGTTTAAGTTCGCCTGCAAAAAGTTTCAAGTGAAAATTATAGATAAACTTTTTGCAGAGCCTTAAATTGTTTCTGACATTTATTCCCTGTGGCCTTTCAGTGTCCATCACTAATCGCATTTGTGTAGTTAAAAAAAAAAAAAAAAAAAAAAGACAACAAAAAAAGGACATATATTGATAACAAACAGAGCTTGCGGAGTTTAAATTGGTTACTCCTCTTTTTCAGCTCTTCCTTAGTGATCTATTTTTAGTCCTCCAGGCTCCGGTCTGGCCTTCACCAGATACAGAAAAACCTATGGTGTCTAAAAGGTAAATGGACAGGTTCTTGTATATTGCTTTTCTACTCTATTTTACTCTTTATAAATATATGTCTCACCCACTCACACACATATTCATACAAGCACTTTCTTCTACGTCTAAGTGCTTTCTGTGTAACGTGTATATATACACACACACACACACACACACACACACACACACACACACACACACACACACACACACACTCCAATCATCGCATCAGGAGCAGCTCGGGTATCAGTATTATGCTCAAGATACTGTACTTTGGCAAGCAGATCGCAGCACCCAGGAATCAAAGGGAAGCCAGGAATTGCATATATAACCCTTGTATTAAAAAAAGGGCTTATATATAGAGGAAATTGATGGCAATGACCAAATGAATATAAAGGACAGATTTCACAAACAAACCAGAGCTTACTCACATCACAGAGACACAGTTTTTCTCAGCTGCCAGACTTTAGCCATACAGCAAGTTTCTTCTTTTTAAGCTTTTGCTTTGGAGGATGTTAAGTACAATTACATTTTGGAGCCCAATCTTAAACGGCTAATGCCCAGATCCCCAGTCACCTTCTGTAGAGAATAACTGCTAAAATACTGAAACATAACAATAAATGTGAGGAATAAAACTAAACATAACTGCACAGCATTAGAAAACCAAACAACACTGTGAGGTTGTGGTGGGTTTTTTATGCTTCTTTAATGTCTCTGTACTGCAGGCTGTAAAGTAAATGATGCTTTTGTTCTGAAGAGTGTGAGTAGGAGGCACAAAGTACAGTACACTCTGTCATGAAAGACCAGGACTACTTCTGCTTACCTGAGTGAGAATATCCAGTTGGCCTATAATGTGTTCCAGGGTGTTGGCTAGACCAGGTGGGACCCCTCCATCTGAAGCATGGGACTGTGCTTGACCCTGGGGTGAATGCTGCGGTAAACTCTGTGTTTGTGTCTGATGGGCAGTGGAGGAACTGATGCTGAGGCTTCCATTGGCATGGGAATGAGATGCTCTGCTCTGGATGCCAATCTGTCTGTAGCTCTGAGTGTGGGCAGCAGTTTGAGAGTCCTGCCTTTTAAAATGCTGAGCTGGATCAGAGGTCTGGAAACAAAGAGGACAGTAAGAGCTGTTAGAAACTTTGATATTTTGGATGTGTCCCTGTTGGGAAAGGGAGAATCTTTTCTGTTGTAGATTGTGCAATCTTTTAAAAAAGTTTAAATTACTTCGTGAAAACAAAATTGCTGCTCTGGTTGGCAGAAAAAAGTTTTAAATTAGAGACAATCGATGAATCGCCTACATCAAGTGGCAACAGCGGTAATATTAAATATTACATTTCCTGACAAAAATAAATCAACAAATATTTATATCAATGCAGGCTGAGTTTTTGCTCAATGTCGGATATTTGTCATGCATATTTACAGTAAAAGGGACCTCCCACAAAAAACACCACCTTATCTATACCTTTATGAAAACTGTTCTTGAGCTGAAATGAAGGCTACATGAAGTTTGGACGTCTATACCCATTGACTCTGCAGAAAGTTTGTGACCTCCGCGCACTATGCACCTCAGCATCTGCTGACCCCACTGCTGTTGTTCGCAATAGCTTCCACTCTGTTATAATACTAGGGTATTTCAAGATGGGACTTGTCGCATAAGTGGCATTCTATCACGATGCCACGCTGGAATTCCCTGATCCCCTAAGAGCGACCCATTCATTCACAAATGTTTGTAGAAGCAGTCTGCATGGCTAGGTGCTTGATTGTATACAGCTGTGGCCATGGAAGCGATTGAAACCACTGAATTCAACGATTTGGATGTATCTGTGAATACCTTTGGCAACATAGTGTAATTAAATAAACAAACAAACAAACACCCAATGACTAGACCCCTCATCGTCCCCCTAGTTGACTGGCAAAATCTTTGGTCATGGGCAGACTTAGAGCTCATTTGGAGCTTAAAGGGCTTAAACATTACAGTCTGAATGGAAACCAGTGTTGACTCACTGCTTCACACACGCACACACACACACGTGCACACACACATGCCCACACACACAAAAGCTAAGTCTGTCGGCCTGCGTTGTGATTAATTCAATGAGGCACAAACACATGAAGCTCGGTGACCACATCTCTCCATCACCATGTCTACATGACTAAATTTGTCCACACATGTATACGTTTCTTTATATTTCTGTCTGCCTTTGCAGACCTCTGACTGATTGCGTACACGTGTGTGTGTGTCTGTGTTTATGTATATATTGTGTCACCTGTCCTCCATCCCAGTGAGAGAGACAAAAAGTGTTTACCTCATCACACATGCAGACTGAAGCCTATTCACATTCAGCTCAAAACGTCAAACTGTGTTGTTCCTAAATGAGTGGAGCTGTCAGCGATTGCTTGGCTCATCACATCTGCCACAGACGTAGCTTATAAGAACAGCTAGAATAAAACGAGCATGGGTTCCCTGCAGTCATGTACAAAGAGTCCAGGAGATAATCCTTGAGTGAGTATGACACATGGACCTGTCTGTCCATGTGTCATACTCACAATATCAGAAACATCATGCCACTTTTTCAGTTACTGTTGAAAAAGTGGCAGTGTGAGAAACTGTATAAAAGTCAGTAAAATATGATACAGGTAGCCCACGGATAGTGCGCCGCAAGATAAAACAATATGTAGAAGCTGTTACAGGCTGAGATTTTAAATTGCAGAAGAGGAACCCTCATCAACAATATTAACAGTTAATTGTAGCTTGTTTATACACAGGATATTTGATTTAGTCATTTTTAAAATGACTTAGCGCCTGTTGATCATATAGTTTGACAAATTTGCACTTTTTCCAGCTTGTTTCACCACCTGATGGGATTCACCAACATTTTTCGATAAATCTGCCGCCATGCAGCCGCGGCTCTCTGAACTGTTCAGTGTGTGGGCAGAGAGCAGAGCAGCAGCACATTCGGCATCAAAAAAAAAAACAGAGAGAAGCATGAATGAGCTGCAAATGTGTCTTTTTGATTAATCGCTAATCTTGATAGATGGGTGTAGTAAGTGCATTCCAGGGTTTATATCCTATCTGTCCTTCCACAGGCTGTATGGAAGTATCACTGTATTTTCATAAGTTTTAAAGCTTATGTATGCATGTGGGCGGCAATGCTATTGCTAAAACTATAAATCAGTCTGCTAACTCAACATGCTCTTCATCTAACGAGAAGTCAGGGAAAACCCCATTATTGCAAATGTTCATGCAAGTACATGTAAATGTGCGCATAAACATGGTAACCATCCTCCTAATGAATCACCTGGAGTGGAAAAACCAACAGTGGAAAATTTCCTGAGGCCAAATTAAACTGTTAGTCTGACACAGCCAGCCATCAATATACCTCACAAGCTGCATAGAAAAAAAATACACACACCTCTCTCTCGCTCACATACTCACATACATACATACATACTCACATACTCACATACATGTGTGTATATATATTTTATTATTTAACTCCCTGTAACAGGTCTAAATAGTATATTTTACCATTGCAATGCTTTGGTTTTTTTTACCTGCCACTCCAAGACGTCTCTGGATCGCTTTACAAGTGCTTCAACTTCAGCTGCTGCGCATTTGACAAAATAAGTGAGCAAAGGTGCTAATTTGTGCTAAATGGCGACCCATAAAATGTTTCCCCCTGTGGCACAATGTTTATATGAAAATCAGTCTACAAAAGTGCAATTTTCCTCATTTGCAAGTCCTGTGACTTTGACTATGACCTAATCAAACACACCTTAAGCCGTAGTAAGTTAAAAAGTTGAATATATATTATTAACTTTTGTTCATTTTGTTAGCTATCCCTGCTGCCACTGGGTAATAAGCAGCAACCTGAACAAGTCGGCAGTCCATCTCAGAGCTAACACACAGAGACAAGCAAAAATTCACACTCACGGCCAATTTAGAATCACCAATTCACCTAACAAGCGATGTCTGTGGCCTGGGGGAGGAAACCTGTGTAGGCACCGTGCCTGCACCAGTTTAGAGCTCGACACCTACTTGCTGTGAGGCGACAGTCCTAACCACTGCACCGCCACACCGCAATTGATTAAATTTAACTGGCTGAAGCATGATAGTCGTTATAATTTTGCGAGCTGGCGAAACAATGAAAGGAAATTGTTTCGTGGAAGGAAAAGCACAGACGTAAACAATCTAAATCAGCGATGGCTTCATTTCCTTTAGCCGATTCATTGTTATGGTCTTGTTATTGTACATGATAAAATATATCATTATTATTGCCAGTGACACCTGCTGTATCTATAATATTTAAGCATTTGCTATTAAAAAAAGTCATGTATAAAAACTCTCTGTAGTCCCAATGCTATATTTTTGACACTTTGAATTACTGCTAATCTTTATATGGTCCATAGAGAATAAGAGGAGTGGCAAGTACTTTTGAACAGAAATGATAGAGGTAAGCGGTGCATTTATACTTATTTCAGGTACCTTATCAGTTGTGACGTGTCCATGACAGACAGGTCAATGGGGTATAAAGTTGATAGAAGCTACTTTTAGCCATAAAATATAATGGTTATAAGCTCATTACCTTAAAAGCGGTCAGTCCTGTCAGTCTAATGCTAAAGTTAGCTCAAACAGCTACAGTGTCAGCAGCAGTATTGTGGGTCACCAGTTTAATGTCAAAACACTTTCAGGCACAACTTATCTTTTCTTATAATAGATCTTTATTATGTTGTTCATGATAGTAATAAACCTGTATCCAAGTATGCCACTAGTGTGATATCAATAAACTTCATTTCAATCATTTATAAAAGACTCATATTACACTCAGATATTTGATTCATATCACACGCAAACAGAAATGTAGAGAACAAACTGGAAAATTGGTTTTAAACTGCAAAATGCTGTCACTCCTTAACAAATCTATGAGTTTCCACAGTCTAATTAGGGATCATTTCTATTCTCACTTTAAATTAATCACAGTCATTCAGGCAATGATTCTCTTTTACACTAGTCCTAGCGCAGATGGCACAGCTGGTGATAATGGCTCTTGTTGCTCTGCCATTGCATACAGTGTAAAGCATCAGCATCATCTCCTCACTGATCAAATAAGAGAGGCTGGTAGGTGTGTGGGTGTCACAAGATAACCGTAACACATAGACAAACATTTTCACCAGCTGCTGATATCTCAGTTAATTAGAGGGAAGCGAACCTTTTACGAGAAACTGCTAGTGATGCTTTTTGATGAATGAAGCCTGAAGTTACTCGGCCTCGATTGTGCCTCTCGACTCCACTACAGGCTCAAAAGGGGAGGCTGTTTCTGACTCTCATTTTTTATCTGTCCTTGACTGGCTCTCTCATCCTTTTCTTTTATTTTACTGTTTTTTTCTGCTTTCATCCCCCCCACCCCCCCCACAAGCTCTCCAAAAGGTGTCTCTTAATGCCTCTCAAATTTTCTCTTTTCAATATAATCTTGCTTGTTTTCTTCTCCAGTGTCTGCGGCTTGTCTCGTTCTCTCCCGTGCTTGTCCTGCTTTCCCACTTTCTGTACCTTCCAGCTCTTCCTCTCCCTGCTCTTCCTCACTGATGCTCTCTCGCTCCACTAGACCATTAGGTTCTCTTTAACTCCACTTCTATGCGGTCTTTGACAGTCCTTTGTCACATCACATCCTCCTGCCTTTCTTTTTAGCTCCTAATGTCAAATGTATTCAGCTCACACTGTTGGAACAATATCGCCGGCCTTATCTTAAAGATTCACACATAAATGCAAACAGAGCCGTGCATCTGAAACATCTGTGATTGATGGGGGTTTATTTGCACTACAAAGTAAAGGTGATTCAGCGATAATGGTAATAGAATGATCGAGGAAATTAAAGTTCAGTTAGTGCAGTCTCTGAACACCCATCCCACACACACGCACACACTTTCCACTCCACGTCCTAAAGCTGAGCCACACAGTGTAGTGGTTTGTGTGTGTGTGTGTTGGGCTGTGAAGGAAAGCCTGCTGTGAGTTTGCAGCTCGTCTGTCTGCACACGTGAGCACGAGAGAGACCCAGATGTGAAGCTAGAGACAGAAAGAGGGGGAAGGGGTGGAGGGTAGATAGA